TATGAGTTGCCCTTCAGTGAAGTCTGCGTTGTGTGAGAAACGATGGGAGGGGATTAGCCAAGAACCATCTTCATGTGTCCATCTTCAAAGCTCAAACCCATCATTTCAAGGATGCACTTTGCTGAGGGAGAAAGGGCTATTTTTGTCCTGATTGGGAGTGCCGTCCTGACCCTGCCCAGTGCGGGGCTATATCTGGCTGTATTTTAGCCTATTTCAACTACCTTCTTTTTTTTCCCTCTCCATCAAAAGACAGGTGTCAGTTTTATTTCGGGTAAGAGTCTAATAAAGAACTGTTAGATGACAGACTTTAGTTTACAGACTACAGATGAAGGGAAAAGGAATCACAGAATCACAGACTGGTTTAGGTTGGAAGGGACCTTGAAGACCATCTCGTCCCACCCCTGCCCCGGGCAGGGACACCTCCCCCCAGCCCAGGTTGCTCCAAGCCCCGTCCAACCTGGCCTTGAACACCTCCAGGGATGGGGCAGCCACAGCTTCTCGGGGCAACCTGCCCCAGGGGCTCACCACCCCCACAGGAGAGAATTCCTTCCTCAGATCTCATCTAAATCTCCCCTCTTTCAGTTTAAAACCATTCCCCCTCATCCCATCACTCCCCTCCCTGACCCAGAGTCCCCCCCAGCTCTCCTGGAGCCCCTTTAGGCACTGGAAGGGGCTCTGAGCTTTCCCCTTTTTGGCCTTCTCTTCTCCAGGCTGAACCCCCCCAACTCTCCCAGCCTGTCCTCCCAGCAGAGGGGCTCCAGCCCTCCCAGCATCTCCGTGCCCTCCTCTGGCCCCGCTCCAACAGCTCCGTGTCCTTCTGCTGGTGGGACCCCCCGAGCTGGAGGCAGCACTGAGGGGGGTCTCCCCAGAGCAGAGCGCAGCAGAGGGGCACAATCCCCCCTCGCCCTGCTGGCCACGCTGCTGGGGATGCAGCCCGGGTAAGCTGGTGGCTTTCTGGGCTGCCATCACTGGCTTATGTTGAGTTTCTCATCCATCAACACCCCAGGTCCTTCTCCTTAGGGCTGCTCTTGATCCATTTTCCTCTGAGCCTGTATTTGTGCTTTGGATTGCCCTGGCCCAAATGTAGGACCTCGCACTGTTTAGAATTATCTCCGAATAAGCTCTTCGTTGCTTCTTCAACTGCTCACTGCTCTGCCGTTGCTTCACATGAAACAGTGCTGCCCGTCTTGCATGTTCCCCTCATCCGTTTGCTTGAGAAGAGCGGAGCTGGAAGGCTGGGGATGGGCACTGGAACGGGGTTTGGTATTTCAGCAGACACGTCTTACCTTTCTCCCCAGGATATAGAGGGATTCAGCAAAAACAGATTTGGGCAAACTACCATCGCTAGGAAAAAAAATTGCAGTTTTTCTTCCCTCAAGGGCGTATTTAAGGTACTATTTTACTGCTATTTTCAAGTCATTTTACTCTTGAAATTGTGTAAATTTGGGGTGATTAATGATGACTCTAAAAAGCCCTTTCAGAAAGGTTTTGGAAATACTTACGGCAAAATCTGGTTTGTTCCTGAGAAGAACTTCTCTCCAGCTTGGCTGGGTGCCGATGAAAGCCCCCGGCTCTCCACAACTCCTGGGCCAGCTTCCAGTCGCTTTGGCAAATCAGACATTATGTTGGAGGTGGATAGATTGCGGAGATGACCGCTCAGTTGACTGCAAAGCGAGAGAGCGCGCTCGCTGACCCCCGGACAGCCTGTCCCTGCTCTCCTCTCACGGATTACCAGTTAGAGGGGTAGTCCTTTCTTCACGGAATTATTTAGCAGGAGAGAGGGAGAGAGAACTTCATCAAAGGCGGGGAAATCACCAAAACTTCTCTTTCAACTGACTGATGAAACTTTAATAAGGGAATTGATGAAACTTTAATAAGGAAGCCCTGCTTCAGGAGCGTTACTCATCTGTGCTGGTGGAAGACTTCGGCTACCCAAGCAACCAAGGCTTACATTATTTTCCTGCTTTCCTGGGCTCTTTGGGGAAATTGCATCTTCTTCTCCAAAATAAAAGAATCAAATGAGAAGTAAACAACCTTTCTGCTCCCCTACCCTGTAGGAAACCAGTAGAAAAGTCATTTTTCTAGACAACATTAGTTTTCATAAGATTTACAGAAGATGTTTTATTGATTTTTTTTTTATTTATTTATTTTTTTTTTTCCCCAACTGCCAACAGCTGGAATGAGGAAGGAGTGCAGGCGTGGGGAGGGCAGGTGTTTAACCTCACCTAACGGCCTGTGGAGAATCAAGAAATGGCTGTTAAACAGTGAGATTAGTTGGACACAAATTTATTGTTATTTATTTATTATTGTTCAGCCTGGAGAAGAGAAGGCTCTGGGAGGACCTTAGAGACCCTTCCAGTGCCTAAAGGGGCTCCCGGAGAGCTGGGGAGGGACTTTTTCCAAGGGCATGGAGTGATAGGACGAGGGGGAATGGCTTCAAACTGGAAGAGGGGAGATGGAGATGAGATATGAGGAAGAAATGTTTCCCTGTGCGGGCGGTGATCCCCTGGGGCAGGTTGCCCCGAGAAGCTGTGGCTGCCTCATCCCTGGAGGTGTTCAAGGCCAGGTTGGACGGGGCTTGGAGCAACCTGGGCTGGGGGGAGGTGGCCTTGCCTGGGGCGGGGGTGGCACTGGATGAGCTTTAAGGTCTCTTCCCACCCAAACCATTCTATGATATTTTTTTTTTTTTTAATTTCTATTGTGACTGTGGCAGAATAATCTGTTATTCATCTTTCCATGGTTTAATCACCAAAACTTCAATATCTGTGGGTTGTTTTTTTTTTGCTTGTGAGCTTGTTAATTAGTGCACATGCAGGTGTTTTAAATAAATTCTCTTGGAATTGACAAATGCAGTAGAAATAATAGGACGTTCTATTGTGATGCTTACTGAAAATATTTGACTCCTGTTTTGTTAATGCAGAGCTTATTTTGCTGGCAAATAACTGTTTATAAAGAGTTAGGAGCAAAGCTGCCAGAATTAGTATAACAGATAGCCTCAGGAGCCCCAATTAGCTGCAACCAAAGGAGGGTCCTTTCCAAAAAGCACTGACCTGCTCCTACCCCAACGCCAGCTGAGAGCAGAACACCACTTGGCACCTCAAAGTCAGAACTTTTTAGGTGGCTGGAGGCAGAGCAGCACAGAGAAGCCTGGATGGAGTGTCTGGGCTTGGGAGCTGGGCAGGGAATCATAGAATCACAGAAGGGTTTGGGTTGGAAGGGACCTTGAAGACCATCCAGTGCCACCCCCTGCCCTGGGCAGGGACACCTCCCCCCAGCCCAGGTTGCTCCAAGCCCCGTCCAACCTGGCCTTGAACACCTCCAGGGATGGGGCAGCCACAGCTTCTCGGGGCAACCTGCCCCAGGGGATCACCGCCCGCACAGGAGAGAATTTCTTCCTCAGATCTCATCTCGATCTCCCCTCTTCCACTCCAGCCCTCCCAGCATCTCCGGGGCCTCCTCTGGCCCCGCTCCAGCAGGTCCATGCCCTTCCTATGTTGGGGGCTCCAGAGGTGGATGCAGTACTCCCGGTGGGGTGTCATGAAAGCAGAGTAGAGGGGCACAATCCCCCTTCGCCCTGCTGGCCACACTTCTGATGCAGCCTAGGATACAGTTGGGCCTTCTGGGCTGCGATCGCCCATTGCCGGCTCATGTTGAGCTTCTCATCCACCAACACCCCCAGGGCCTTCTCCTCAGGGCTGCTCTCCAGCCATTCCCTGCCCAGTCTGGAGTTGTGCTTGGCATTGCCCTGACCCAGGACGTTGCACTTGGCCTTGTTGAACTGCATGCGGTTGGCATGGGCCCACCTCTCCAGCATGTCCAGGTCCTGCTGGATGGTATATGCCCTGAACTGGGCTTGCTGGGCTGTGGGGGGCTGTGCCTCCCCCCCGGGGCCCCCATGGCCACCCTTACTGTGGCCACAAGCCCAACCCCGGCTTTCCTCGCAGGGACCCACGCTGGGGAAGAACTCCCACAAACTTGCCGAACACCTCAATGAGGAGTTGGAGCAGATAGGGATTCCTTTTTTTTTTGATTTTTTTTTTTTTTTTCAGAGCTGCAGTTGGCTCTTACTGCCTGAAGGATTTCCACATGAACTGAAAACATTTGCTAAATGACATAATAAGCTAATGATTGCTTAATTTTTGAATACATAGCTCAGTTGTAGAGGGAGCAACAGCTGGTGTTTGTCAAATTAGGTTCTCTCCTTAAGATTTTTTACTCCTCATTTTCTTGTTTATTTAACATATTTAGCCAAGATTGAGCTCTGAAGGTCTTCCCCCTGAGCTGGTTAGACTTAAAGGTAAATGTTACAGAGCATAAAGAGCTTTTGAGCCTGGATTTGGGGGGGTTCTGAGCTCCCAGGTGAAACCATTTGAAGTTTCCTGCAGGGTGTGTTTTCAAGATGATGGGACCTAAAACTTGCAAAACTCAGGTATTTGCACGTGTACTACAGGGCAGGGAACAGGCGCGTTGGATGGCGAGTAGAGCAAATAACCAAAACATTCAGGTTTAAAATCAGACAACTTCTCTTTAGGAAAAGTCAGAATAAGGGTGGTTGTGTGTGGTTATGAAGCCGGGGGAGCTGAAGAAAGTGGCGGCCAATCTGCTCAAATATTTGACTTTTTTATTGAGGGTTTTCATTCGAATTTAATAACTCCACAGAGTTTATGTATGACTCACTACTGTCTTGTCCCTCTGGGCCATAATGGTATGTTCACATATATGGTGTTTTAATATCTACAAACGCACCAACCACAAACTGGAACTTTAAGAACAACGATTAGGAAAGGGGCTTTGAGAGTACTTAGAAAATGTATTATACAATATATTTGGAATGTAGTGTCTCGCTCAGGCGGCTGTGCAAGCGGCGGAGGCTGACGGACAAATGTTGCAGACTCTTGTTCTGTCTCGCGTCGCAATTCCGGAGGCTGACAGCATCATCCTCCGTACATCCGCTGGTTTCCAATTAAAAACAAAATCTGTTGTATCTCACCCTTCCACAGGTGGTTGCCAGAATAGCCTTAAACCCGTGGCTGGCAGTCAGACCCTGGCGTTGGCCACCGCCGCAATGGTGTCGGTGGAGCCCGAAGCCCCGCAGGGACCGTCGGTGCCGAGCGTCCAGCCCTGCCACGTGCTGACCTTCTCCCCTATCAAAATTCCAGTCTTGGCCTCGCCTTTTCCAGGTAAGGTCGCTTCTGATGACACTAATAAGCAGCTTTTTATATCGACTTTGCAACAGAGAGAGGCTTCTGAGCGCGAGTCTTGCTGTCGATGAGCTTTGGTGAATTGAATATTCAGGGGATGTAGGTGGCATTACTGTCCTCCAGAATTCAAGTTATTTTTTATGGTGCTGCGTAGAAGCGTGCTCTGAAATTGTGTGTTAAAAGTGAGCTCAAAACTCCACCCGCGTGCGCGGTGCGTATGTCGCTGTGGGGTTTGCGGGCGCTCCGTGGGCTGAGCCGCGTTCGGTCCTCTCGGTGCGTTCCGTGACAAAAAGGGGCCGTAACGCCACTGAGGCTTTGCAGCAGCGCCTCAGGATGCTGGCGTAAAATTTAGTAAAATTTTGTTAAGACTTAAGTAGATTGTTGGGGTGTTTAATTATAAAATATGCTGGAAGAAGGTAGCTGTGGCGTTGTATGCTTTCTGATGGGTTTGGATGTGGTTGTGTACTGGAAAAAATGCTATTTTCTTAGCATGGCTTTGTGTAACGACTTTGAATATGTTGGCTGGGGATGTACTACGGCGTCCTCGACTCGCTGCAGAAGGTCTGACTGATCTAAAGTCTTTCGGGTAGTTTTTGAAACAGTTTGTACTCTGAATGCTCAAGGCTATATTTAGAAAACTTATCTACCAATTACGTTAAAAATTTAAATGAGGGTGCATTTTCCATCTTTTTGGTACTTGGAGTGTAACACAGCAAGGCACAGCGAGATTGAATTTCGCAGAAGGGACGCGGTTATGATTTTCAGCGTTCAGATGAAATCTTTTCACGAGCAATGTGTGTCGGTAATTATTGTTCCTGGTGAGCAGCCATTGGAATCCCCCGGATAAACGCCTGCCAAAGGCGCTGGGGTTGTGTTTCGGGGGTCTGAAGAGCAAACTGGGAATAGAGGTACCATCCCTTCAGGCTTTGTCTCGAGAAAGGATGGCACCGAGATGGAGCAGGAGCGCGTGGCGGCCATCGGGGAGGGGTTGGGGGGTTCGCCGCGGGGTGGTGTTGGACCCACAGAAACCATTTTGCTTGTTTGTGAGTGACCCTCTGAGAGGAGAATCCAGAGGGGTAGAAAAAAAATCATTCTTTATCTGTGCTGAAAAGCAGACTTAACGCGCCAGACGGCCTCTTCCCTGCAGGGAGGTGCGCAGGGGCACGGGACGCCGGGGGTGCGCTCTGCGCGGGGGGTGTTGGACGCGATGGGACGCGGTGGCAGCGGGGCGCTCCGCCGCTTGGCGAACCGGCACGGCTCGGCCACGGTGAGCACGGCAGGCCGCCGTAATTGTTGCTTTCCTTTGCAACGAGCGTAAGATGGGCTATCAAATATCACGCGTTGAGTGCCTCGGCAATCATCCTATTATCAGTCACTCACAGTAAACCACGTGCTTCTGGGTGTTTTCTCCTACAGAATATATAGTAGCTTCTTAGAGAAGAACGGTTGGAAGTGCCCGGTCCGTGTACAATAAACTGGAGATGCGGCTCGCCGTTTTTCTCTATTAATCGCTGCCCCTGGAGGGAAGGCTGCTGCCTTCGCGTACGCTGACACAGAGCGCTTTTGTGAAATTCCTTTTTATTGTGCTGGCGGAGAAGGGGACTCGGAGGTGTTGGGTTTGGATGATCTTTGTCGGCACCGGCTTGACGAGGAGCGTCCCTCGCAGGTGCCAGGGGAGGGAGGGAGGGAGGGAGCCTTTGGGTGCCCGGGGGCAGCTCTGTGGCCGGGCTGCTCTCCCTGCCCGCGATGCTCTGCCTTAACTTGCAGGGAAAAAACACTCAGTTGGCCAAAGGCAGCTCTCTGCTGGGGGACATAAATGTCTCCATCGCCATATAAGTTAATGGCTGGGAAAGGGTGACGAAGGCGTAACCTAGCGTAGAGGCAATCCTGAGCGTGGAGCGTGCTTTATAACCCTGTCGGCCCCTCGGTTAAAAACATCCCTGCGTTGGCGTTTGTTAAAGACAACTTCTTGTTTTCAAAGAGAAATACATCTTGGAGAGAGCGTAATCTGCAGACCCCGGAGGCAGCTGCAGTTTTTGTGATCCATGTGCGATTTACAAAGTAACGTGGTAATTAATGAACTTTCCACATTCGCCTTGTCTAAAGTTTACTCAAGGCAATGTTCGTATAGTAGGAATGAACTTAGGGAACAAAAGATTAAATTATTTCTGACTTAAATCTACATGTATATTGGTGCCTGTGAGGCTGAACATTGTGTGCTTAGTTATACACTGTTAATTGGTTATACTGGAGATGGGTACTATGGTACTACCTTGTGCAGTACTGTGTTTCTAATCACAGCGGTTTGTTCAATCAATAATCTTGTAATTGAATATTTACTTTTAGGGAGGCCTTTAAATATGATTAGTTCTGCAGCCTTACCGTTGGGCTGTGTTACTTTGCTGCCGGCCTAATTAGTGAACTTGGTGAACTGGTAAGAAATGGGGAGTTTGTGAGACGGGGCGGGTGGTGCGGTGCAGCAGCGGGTGCCGGCGCTTTTCCAGTCTCCCAGCGGGAATTTCTTGGAGTTTCCCTGCAGCAAATCACCAGGTCCCGGGAGTTAAGGAGAACTCGTAGTACGCAGAACACGGTGATAATTTTCAGTTCATTTTAATACAATGTACTTTACATTTTGTAAAAGAAAATCAGAAGTAGAGCTGTAGTAGAGAGGAGGATATTTGGGGAATACGGAACCCTGCGCAGCCTTTCCCGGCGCGGGATGCTGCGATGGGTCCCACTGGGTCTGTGGCCCTGGGGGGCAGAGGCGGGAGGGGGGCACCGCTTTGCTGTGCCCTTGGCTCTGCGATGGGAGGAGCTCCTGTGATCAGATTTGCCTTTGGGTATTAGTTTGGCACCATGGTGATCCCGGAAACGTTTAGTGATGAAATAAATTTATGGAAAAGAAGAAACGTAAAATACCCTGTATTTAAGGGGGAGGAAACTATTTGTCTCTACGAGAAGTGGTCCGTGATCTGCCGGAGGGCTCAGGCGGCGCGTTACAGCGTAATGCAGAATGAAAATATGAGCGATGCTCTGGCCGCCGGTGAGCAGTCACAAAAAAAAAAAGACCCACAGAAGCACAACTTTGTGTCACCCTCAGAAGTTCACGCTCAGGTGTTTGTATACCCCCCAGTTCCCCCAGTTTTATTTTGAGGACTCAGCGCCTCTGCACTGAGGCTGAATGCCCGCTCAGAGTGCAGCATCCCTCTCTGGACCTGCTGTTACCAAAATCAGCCGTCCCGGGGGCAGGGGGCTGGAAATGTTCCTGTTTTCCAGCTGTGAGATGTTTCCTTTGGCCCGAGAGCCCACTGTAGGCACAGACCCTCCTGGTATAGGACATGAATTTTCTGCTCTTAATGCTTCTGGAGTTGAGACTTAAATGGTTAATAACTATTAAAAATCACAGCATGGGTTGGGTTGGAAGGGACCCTAAAGCCCACCCAGTCCCACCCCCTGCCCTGGGCAGGGCCACCTCCCCCCAGCCCAGGTTGCTCCAAGCCCCGTCCAACCTGGCCTGGAACACCTCCAGGGATGGGGCAGCCACAGCTTCTCGGGGCAACCTGCCCCAGGGGATCACCACCCGCGCAGCCAACAATTTCTTCTTCATATCTGATCTAAATCTTCCCTCTTCCAGTTTAAACCATTCCCCCCCATCCCACGGCTCCCCTCCCTGATCCAGAGTCCCTCCCCAGCTCTCCTGGAGCCCCTTTAGGCACTGGAAGGGGCTCTGAGGTCTCCCCTTTTTCGCCTTCTCTTCTCCAGGCTGAACCCCCCAACTCTCCCAGAAACCCAACTGACATTCAGTATGAGGTGGTCATTTGAATAAATTGGTATTGCTAATCCTTGTCTTGGTTGAAATTGGGGTTGAAATGGAATACCGGCATCGTTCTCCTGTTGTGTTAGGGTTTGTTTACTGCTTATACAATTGACAACAGTCATTTCTGGTCTATAGAATATGGTTTCTGCCGTTGCCTGGATTTGGAGCTGTGTAAATGCGTTGTGCAGTTCGTGCAGGAGTTCCGTCCCCGCTGAAGTAACTTGCTGGAAGTGAGGAGTCAGAGCGGTACTACAGAAAAAGTTAGGGGAAAATAATAATAATAAAAAAAAAGAAATAAAAATTAATATAGAACACAAAGTCAAAAGTCTGTTTGAACTACGGCAACCGCTGGTGCTGGCTGCTCCGCTGTGCCCCAGGGAGATGCCGTGGGAGGTCTCGGGGGCCCGGGCTTCTGTTCCCAGTAGCTGGAAGGAAGCGTTCCCCTTCTGCTCTCTGCTTTTTGAGGCTGGTTTGGTTTGGTTAGGCATTTCTCATTTTGTTATTTCTTTTAAAAAGGAAAAAAAAAAAAAAAAAAAAAAGGCAAGTGGTGTGAAAATACCTGGGGAAAATCACAGAACTCTGTTCCGTGGAGCGGCTCAATATTTTTGTAGGAATGTGATATTTGACATTTCTGCAGGTGAAAACTGATGCCCCGTAGACTTGACTTCCAAATTTTGAGCCATTCCCATCTCAATACTGCTGATCTCAAACCGTTCCGGACGAGTCCCATGGCAGTCAGGTTTGTCATATAGGTGTGAGGTGTTTGTACAATTGCCGGACACATTCTTCTGTTCTCCCTCCAAAAGAATGTAGAATTCTGTCTTAATTCATTGTAGCATTTTCCCCCAAACTCCGAGCATGCTACATTATGCCATTTATGTTTACAAAAGTCCTTTTTTTCCCGGATATTTTTTTTTTTTAAACAAGACATTTAACGTTTCAATTTTCCTTCATGTTTGTTTACTTTTATTGAGGTTTGATGGGGCTTAACACGGTGTCCAGTATCATTCCCTTTCGGTGAGTCCTGCTTCTGCCCCTTGGACAACTTGGCCAGAGCAGTATTTTGAGGTTTAAGCTGGTAAGAAATAAGATCTCTGCGGTGGCTTCCACACAGCACGCAGAGCAATGGCAGATAATATGCTGAGTCAGCCATCTTCTGATG